TGCTAGTTCGCCTATGCGATGTACTAGTGCTCTGATGACACAGAGGAAGCCAATGACCATATTCCGTGCAACAGTCTTTGGACATGTTTGCGTGCTTATGAAATCGTTTACCAGTTGTTACGGCCATCCTAGCACTATATGCTGAGTCAGAGTAAATCGCTTAAAGTCGAAGCCCATCATCTTTGGCACTTGTCTCCGCCTAAGCTGTATTCTTTTCCCTCTGCTGTTTGTGTTACACATGGATAGAATAGTCAGTCACAGCTTGTACGCTAAGTGTTTCACTGAAGGCGAGTTCAAGACGAAGAGATTCATTTTAGCATTTGATCTTCTTTTGCTAACATCTTCTGGAACTGATCTCCGTTGCTTTCTGAATACGACATGGCCGACATGCGTGTGAGCGTGTCTAAAACGAAAAGCCGAGTGTCTTCTCGTTCCGTTACCTGCTGCGCTGTGCGGATGGACAGAGAAACAGAGCAGGCGGTGGAGAAGTTCAAGTGCCTGAGGACCGTGTTTACTGGTGATTGAAAATTAAAGAGAGATATAGACCGGCCACACGGGCTGCCTTCGAACCGCTGGACTAAAGCAGAACTACGTCTGAAGTCTAAGCTGTTTACGTTCTAGTCGGTGTTCATGCCAATACTCATCTACAGTCATGAGTCTTGGACTGGAGTGAAAACTTCGATTCAGGGTACAAGCGGTTGAAACGGGTTTTCTGAGGTGATTCACTGCCGTACGCACGTGTTCCGAAATGCAGATATCTAAGAGAGCCTTGTTGTACAGCCGCCGTTTCTCCAGATTGTTAAGTTCCATCTGGAGCTTTTTCAGCGCGTGCTTGCGAATCCCTCCAGAAAGGAACGCAAAGCAACTGTTATTTACTCAACCGACAGGCAGAAGACCCCGGGGACAGTGAAGATTAATCTGGGGCAAGTGTATTGAAGGACTCTCTCTATTGGTCCCTGGTTGTCTTCTGCAAGAGATGAAATGCTGCCATAAAATCAGGAACGTTGTCTGCCTCTGCGACTCGAAGGGAAAAGTGATAATGGAAATCGAGTTTATGATAATCTGTGTATGTAGTTAATTAAGTGTGTAAATAAGTAAAAATGTCGTGAAGTTCGTGGCGATTCAGCCCACATCAATTCGAGGAATTTTCTGAAAAAATTACTGTTCCATTGAAATGCTTATATCGAAAATGCAGATTGAATGTAGTAAAGCTATTCAGATCTCGACGATAATCATAGTGTCCTTAATTTTGTCAGATGCGAAGAAAGTGAGTAACTAAGTAAATGAGCAAGCAAACCAGGAACTAAATAAGAAAGTGAATAGGTAATTAATTAGGTGAAGATAAGGTAAGTAGGTATGCAAATACGATAAAAGGAAAAACTGTCATGACGTTAGCAAGTGGGTATGTATGTAATTGTGGTGTAAGGAGGAATCGTTTTTTTTTTGTTGGAGTGCATAACAACAGATGATCATTGTTTCTCAATCCATGGTTCAAGGCTATCATTTATTTTAATTTTGATGAAGACGTTGGTGTATAGATTCGAAACGCGTTGGCGAGCAAGGAAATTACATCGTCGTTTCTAATTTGTTGTTTTGAATTTGAACTTTGAATTTGAACCATGGGTCGTTAAGGATCATTAAGTTTGTGTGTAATCAGCGATATGAGTAATTGAGTCTTCATCATCTTCATCTTCCATAAACC